GGCTAGGGAAGCACTCCCAATGTTCAACGCCAGGCTATCTGGGAAATTAAACTCAAAAGGCAACAGCTTCGCACTTTAACCGCCCTAACGGGTCGTGGTCCATAATTAAGCCTCTTTTGAATACGTCTGTGAAGAGTGTCTATGATACCTAAATTGAAAAGGAGGAAGATACAGCCACACGTCCTACTACAATGCTCCGGTGTGGCCAACCATCAAGGCGAACCGATACCTTGGAGTGCCAAGGTCGTTCCCCGAAGTTTTCAGCAGACTCAGGAGGAAGGTAAGATTTCTGGAGAAGCCTGGGTAGCACAAGGAGGACTCTGGACCTACCACAGGCAAAACAGGTGCCTAGACCGCCGAGTTTCGGACACTAGCCCGTAACATCACCATGACAAAGTGGTCGACAGTAAAAATTTATAAAGCGAATGCGAATTGAAATGTGGGAAAAGCACCTCGCCGTACGTATCTCGATCAGATTGAGGAAGTCCTTACAAAAGGCCAGGTTAAAAGTGCCAAGAATAAACGAGCTTGTATAAAGAGACTGATGGTAATGGGGGAGTCCTCCGCCAACCCCATAACATTTTCAGTAACTTTACATCTACATGTATGACATGCTTGACCGTTTTCTCAGATTAGGCAAATAAACACCTATAAGTTCTCGCCAAAAAGTAAAAAGGTGTCCGCTGAGAAAATTATCTCTTTCCCTCCTATAAAAAACGACCTTGTCCCGTTTCAATTACGCAATTTTATATGGCAGGTCAACTCTATTGAGATCGAGTCACGAAAGAGTTAAAACATTAGCAAAGCACAGGCGCAAGCGAGATAGGTAGATTGTCTCATTTCGGTAATGGCATAATTTTCAGAGCCCTTTTTACATTAGCTTATTGTAATGCATTTATAGCCAGCTGATAAGCCAGTGCAAGGAGCTATAGTCCATTTCACACACAATTTTTACGTTACATGCATACATAATAACTCAACCTGATTACAAAAAGAATTGGTAAATTTGTTACAATGTAGCAAAAACAAACAACATTTGTTGCAGTTGTAATTTTAAGTAAAAATTACAGTATATTAAGTAGATACAAAATGAAATTATAAAGACAAAAATAAATTACACCAACTACTTGATGCGTAAAACGGAATATTTATCCATAGAGATTTACACCAAGGAATAGATAAAGCGAATCAGCTATTACGTATCTTGCGTCATACTTGTGTATACACCTTGTATGTGGGTATTTTTCTTTCGTTTTGAGCCTTGTATGATGTTTTTGAAGTAATTCTTCAAATTTAGTTACGTTGCTGTTGATTTTATGCTTTGTTGTCGCCTTTTTATTTGGTTGTTGTGGATTTTTTATTTGTTGTGCAGTTTTTTAGCAATTTCAATAATTCCAAAACTTTTAATTTAGTTTATCATTTGTCATTAAATTATTGTCTCTAAATCTCTACGTTACAAATTATCTCGATGAAACATATAAATCGATTTTTCTTTTCGTTTGATTTTACATCACTAGGTACATCTCTAGAAATTTCAAACCACAAACGTCAGCGTACTCATGCCATGTGAAATACATGAGACGTGTTAGTGGTCGGCCTAACTACCGATAGATGGAAGAAATGCGCGAGTGGACAGATGGAACTGAGAGACAGACTGATGAGACAGGGTGTCATGGGTGTCATCCGTAAAAAGTCGGCGTCGCTACTGAACAGAATACGTGTCAGCCCCAGCCACCTTAAGACAATTGGTGGAAGGATTGACTGTCCAGTGAAGCGACAGTTATACAGTCTACAAACTCTCTTATACAATGTAACTACTAACATAGTTTTAAGGCTGTACCTACTAATTTTAATTGTATCATGGTTGTATAGATGAAACAAAAAAAAAATGGAGAAAGTACTCCGCGCCCTGCACGCAGAGAATTGGGAGGAGATCGCACAAGACAAGGTCACGCTGGCGCCAATTCGTATCGGATGCTAAGACCCACTTCGGGTGGCCGAGCCAGCGGTGTAAGCAAGAAATGAACTTACTTACAATACAGTTTTTTGTCATTGAAATGTTTAAGATGTAATAAAAAACATTTCATTGATTACTTTTTAACTGCTATTACGAAGTACTAGTTATCGTGATTAACCACACTTTAGTTAATGCGCATACGATGTAGTTATAATAACCGTAACAAAAGTTGTTACTACAATCAAAATAAATTGTTACAAATTGATGTAATTGTCAGCCAATTGCCTTTTCATTGCAACGAGAATGAGAACGTTGTGTATTGAGATGGCAGAGCAGGGATCATAATAAAGGATATGTCAAAATACTTTTTGTATTTCACATCATTTACATAAGAGTTCCTCCTGTAGTAGAGCTCTTTGTGAAGTCCGTCCAGGAAAGTTCTGCCACCTGACCTATTTCTGCCGTCGTTCCGGTTTTGTAGGGTGCTGGTGAAATCACAGGCATATGGGACTTGTCAAATTTGTCTCAGAGCGATAAGCGCAGTCGCAGTGCCCCTAAAATCTTTGCGATTTAACACAACACGTGCGTCCCGTCATTCAATATCTTTAAAAAAAGAGTGTGAGTGACGAAATGTGTTAAATGAGGAGGTCCCGGGTTCGATTTCCGGTAAGACCTACTTTGTGGAAATGATCTGGGTGTTTTGGGTAGTGTTCCCAGAGGCAATTTAATTTGGTACTCATTCATCCCTAGTCTGTGACCAGGTCATTGGTGTGGTTGTCTTTTTAAATTCATCTTTATAAAAGTGTTATCAGCGATGTGCGACTTTGAATGTTACTAATACTAATCATTCGCCTAAGTCGAGTCCAAGCAGAATCATTCGTCTAGATGTAGGAACTACTCGGAACCGTTCACTATTTCCATATCAAATTACCCGTGTCTCCGTTACATATAAGGTACTTGCCGTATATCAGAGAGGGCTAGGCAGAAATGCTTTAGGAATCTATGGATTAGTAATTAATGATCTTTCTGATCATTAGAATACGAAACTTTGTCCAAGAAGCTTGGCATCCTTTCCAATGCGAGGCATTACTTCACACCGGGAGTTGCTTCAGCTGTACCAAGCACAAGTCCGGTCGCGTACGGAGTACCGTCGCCACTTATGGGATGGATCTGCTAAATACCAACTGGCCATCTTGGATTCAATCGAGAAGCGTGGCAAGAAGCTTATAGGTGACTCGGAATTAGTTGAGGCGAAGCTACAGAACCTTGAACACCGCCGTAAAGTTGCCTGCTTATCGGTATTCTATAGGGCAGATCACGGAGAGTGCGATGGAATAGCATAATTTGATCATCGGGGGACTAGCCGTGGGCTGGGATTCCACCTCTATGTTGTGGATATTCCCAGGATTCGCATGAAGCGTATCGCTTCCACTTTTATATGGCGAGCGGCTAGAGAGTGGAATTCCCTACCTGCGGACTTATTCTCCGATCCGATGTGCATTAGTTAGGTCGACCTCATCATCACTTTCCATCAGGTGAGATGGAGGTCAAATGCGCACTTATTTTTAATAAAAAAAAAACTAATTTGTCAGTCGAATGACAGGATTAGTAATTATTAAAGAATCGAATATCGAAATGATTAGTACTCCCGCAACGCTATTGTCATCTGTATAATGATACAGTTGACCAAAAGTTGAAACTATTGGTGAGAGATGACTTACTTTGTTTCCAGTTTTATACATATAGATTTTTTTAACATGTAGATTTATACACTTTATTTCGTTGTTATTGCGCATGAGTGGCATTTATACCCGACGAGCGAAATCGCTTTTTTACATAAGAAAAATATCTGAAATCGTTGAAATGTTGCTTCTTCGTAAGGTTTTAAGCTTTTCGCAGTCATGTACATTGCACGGCACCTGCAGCACAACTGCCGATTGCTGGTGTGCAGCTAGTCGGAAAATAGCTCTTGTGACTGCGAGGTTAAGTTGATATGAAATTAGATAGTGAAAACCTTGATTTGTGGTTAGCGCTTTCTAACTTTCCACGGCTAAATTGCAATGTAAATATAGCTGCTATGTGGGTCATCATAATATGTTAGACCAGAGGTGGTCAACGTCTGTTGCCGGCCGCAGTTACAAATTAAAACCCGTGTATTGTGGTCAAAATGTTTTATTGACGCCTTACGGCGTCATTGGCGTATCAGCCAAGTTAATGTAAGACGCTTTAAAGCGTCAAAGGGTTAAATATTAGCAGTAGAGCTCTTTATGTACTTCTGCCGCCAAGCACTAATGTCAGCATTTTTGTGTTCCGATTTTGTGAGGGAAATTACAGGCGCATGAGACTTGCTCAGATGTTTTCGATTTAAAGCTCTGAGTGGCACTGCAACTGTTATGGACAGGCATGTAGCTTACCATCATGCGCACGACTTGTTCGTCCCGTCACTTGATATTATATTAAAAAAAAATTACTTATATTGAATTTGGCTAGAATATAGATATGACGCATTTTCAACCTTAGTTTCCACTTACTTTTACCTGAAACCTATTTTTTATTAATTGTAAATTGTTTACCGAGTCACTACACGGTCAGTTGAAAATTATTTTCCACTCCGTCAGTTGGAGGTGATATTGACGTACAGTTATGCAGTTTGTAAACAACGTCGAGTGTATCACTAAAATACAATTCACTTGCTACTTATACAAATAAACTAATACTGACTACTATGTACGTAGGTTGTTTTGAATAATTAAGAAATTATTTTGTTAAAAACGTGGCGCAGGGTGTGCGGCATAGTTACCTATTAAGCAACAGATACATCACTCTCATAACAAATCGAAAATACCTACGCTATAATAGCCTCCTAAGTCTGACTAATGACACCAGACGCTCACTACGAGGAAAAAGGAACCTAAGGACGCGCTCAGAGAGGTGAAAATAACGTTGCCCGCCATGTGCAGCCGTGCGGAACCGAATGCTCATAAATAAAAGACTTGTATAAGCGCTTGTGTCGACGTCGATAGACTCAGTGGTAGGCACTTACCGCATAACCTTGAGCAAGTGACGTAGCCCTGGTACAGGGTCTTAGGGGACGCCGAGAGCCGCTCGCGACACTTCCAAAGAGCCTGCATCACTCGCGGTGTAAACGAAGTAAACGGGCTATTGCTTCCCAACATTATAATTTACACCTGAATTTCCGATCACTGGCGAATATAACTATTTGGAATAGACCTGTCGTCCAATATGAACTTCGGCAGATACATTGAATCCATGGCCAAAAATGCTGTCAGGAAGCTTGGCATTCTTTCCAAGGTGAGGCGTTACTTCACACCGGGACAGTTGGTTCAGCTGTACCTAGCACAAGTCCGGTCGTGTGTGGAGTACTGCTTCCATTTATGGGATGACTCTGCTAAATACCAACTGGCCACCTTGAATTCAATCGACAAGCGTGCCAAGAAGTTTATAGTTGACTCGGAATTAGTAGAGGCGAAGCTGCAGAGCCTTAAACACCGTCACAAAGTTGCCTGCTTAACGATATTGTACAGGATATACCACGGAGAGTGTGCGATGGAATTACATAATTTGATTCCGCTTCCCCTTTCTATAATCGGGGGACTAAACTGGGCTAGGATTCCAACTCTATATTGTGGACATTCCCACGATTCACGTGAAGCGTCTAGCTTCCACGTTTATATGGCGAGCGGCTAGAGAGTGGAATACCCTACGCTATAACTTGGACCTTCACTTCTTTAGAGAAAAAAATCTGTTATGTTAATCTTAAAATAGTTAAATAGGAGCAAAAAATTAACATTGACCTCATATTTCACCAAGAAATCTAAGTTAATGACTTTAACATTGTTACACGTCAATGTTGAAACAAGTTTTTTAACTTATAAAAATAATTTAATAGGTTAAACAGAGGAATAACTGAGAACTATAACTTTACAACACGGTTAAGGTCAATATATTTTTAAATAGAAAATCATAGAATTAATTATGTTTATGATGTCACAAATATATTATTGTAAATATTAACTTGATTACCTTCATGACTCAGTGGAAAACTCTGAGATCCACATGAGATTTTTTAATACCATTGTTTATTAGGGGCTTTGGTCATTATTGAACATGTCAGTCCTAATAGTAAAACAATATATCAAGAAAACACTTAATAGAATCCAAACAGATAAATCAAAATACTACCTAGACATTTGTATATATGTTAATATATACAAAATCTATTTCATACTACAACAGTACTATTTGTTTTTGCAGCAGTATTTGTTGACTCAGATAATACGGATTGGAACCGTCCATCATTAAATCCTCCAATAAACACTACACCAACTTAATTTTTGGCCAAGTTCTGTTTTTATTTTGTTTTATTTTTTCTTTCTTTATATTTTTTTTGACAAAATTAGTTTTGTTTGCTTTTTTCGAAGTTTGTTCTTTGGTTCTTTGTTCATTTCTCACAAAATTCGAGGAGCATTATATTAGTAAATAAATATGGCTGTTTACAAAGATGTAGAAGTAAATGACCAAATTACCGGAAAGTGCGCGAAACCGGATTCATGCCCTAGTTTGCCAGCCTTAAAGATGGAATATTTTGTTTAAATTTAAATGAGACCACTACTAAGGTACCCCCTTTTCAACAAAAAAAAAGAATCATACAAATCGTTTCACAAATGCCGCCGGAGTTATCGCGTAAGATACATACAAAAAAAAAGAAAAATGAGAACATTCTGAGAGTAGTTGGTGACAAACAAAGTTTGGCATAGTGTTCATTGGAGGTATCGAAATGTACCAAAACCAACCTACTTATGCCAATAACCACACCCTGACGGGTTCCATCCACATATAGCATGAGCATGTTAAGTTATACAACTTTGTTTCAAAAAGTCAATGTGTAGTTTGCAATGCTGCTGTATGTACATCCGCAGGAATTCCACACACCTCACAACTAGGAGAATTCACCTTCCTCATGAAACACAAAAATTTATTTAATGTAACATGCATGAGATGTGTTATACCCAAGTGAAAGAATTTAAAAAAAAACAAAATTCAAACAACTCCTACGTAACTTACAGAAAACAGATCCTCAATTGTTTTTTGATATTGCTACTAATTCTAAAGATAATAATGGTTAAAATCAGTTGTATGTTTGACATATGACCTTCAGTTTATAACATGTAATTAACAGACATTGTAAAAGGTTAAGTATCTAAGCTTCCAGGAAATAATGCATATAAAGTGGATAACATGGTCTTTGAAATACAAAAATCTCAGTATCGTAGCATAGGAATATGGGTTGTGGCTACATGTTGCTTTTGGAAAACTTGTGAAGTTCCCAGCCCACATTGAGACAGTGTGGCAAAGTACAGTCTAAACTTCTATTTTACTTTTATTTTTGATGCAAATCTGCTCATAATCATCCAACTGATCACATGATTATATGATGAAAAAATAAAAAAATAAAACTTTTTGGTACAAACAGAAATTTTATCAGCCAAAAATCCTGGCGCCCTAACAGTGTTCTTTTTAGCGTCTATAAATTCCCGCAGCACACAAAGAAATTCAAGAGAAAACTCCACAATAACACTTAGGGTCAAAATTGCTTAGAAATCCTCATCAGAAACAGGTTGTCTTTACTCTGGCTGTCCAGAATACAAAGACCATTTAAACTCGTCCATATTGATCTTACAAGCTTATGTCCAAGGAGGATTAATGGAAATAGTCAGTCAACTTTTAAAAGCTCTGTTTCCAGAAGTGAAATGAGGGGTTGACATTTTTCTTCAATTAAAATTAAGATCTATACTACACCAAGAACTTTTTAACTAACCCACAGATTCAATATAAGTTCTCAAGGTAAGCTCAGGGCTTATGAGGCATTCCCAACACAACCATAACTTTGCTTAATGGGAACACCTCATCTACGATGTGTATCAAATGTAAGAAATAAATATCTTTTTATTTTAATAAGAACCAAGTCTCAAGTAATTTATCATGCCATAAGTATCAAACATATTAGCCCTGGGCATTACCAAGAACACTCAGCTTTAATTTAGAAAACTTCATAACCTGAATTCCTACTGGAAATAGAAAACAAGACTTCTTCATCTAGCATCAGCTAGGTCACTGAGGTCATCAGATTTATAAATAAACAATTCTTAAAAAATGTTAATAATATAATTGATTGTAGCATAAGTACACAGTTCATTATATCTAAATAATCACCCAAGTGTGTATGGCCAGTTTGGAAGAATAATAATTGTTATTGGTGCACTAATTACTGTTTACAATTTGTATTTAAAAACAATGTATTGTAACAATGAGCTTCTTCTCAATGAAAACTGCAACAAAAACGACAAATTTTCCACAAGAAAAAAGTCTATTGAATAACACACTCAGAGAACAAATTTGTTTAGTAAATAACTCCTTGTGTCTGTCAGCTGAGAGATGGAAAAACATTTACCATAAGTAGTTAAGTAAGGTAATTTAGACGACAGGAACAAATATTTAGCACATTTCCTAGTCGCATTGGTGGTAAACCCTGTTTACATCGAAATCGATGTTTAAAAACATTCAAGACAACTTAAAAAGGAGATTCCGGCGTAACTTTAACGAAAATAACGTATCATTATAAGTCTCACGAATGTGCGAAGTACATTTTAAATTTCAATGATATTAAGCTATTATAATCTGTTGCACGGTCGGAAACGGTTAAAAGGCGAATCGTCAAGTATTATTAGCCACATGATACCACGGCAAAACGCGCACAGCTTCCAAATAAAGTCAACAAAGTAAAGAAAAATGACATGTCCACCATTCTTTCTAAAACTGACCTGTATCTCCTCCAACGCGTCGGCGGCGCTCCGCTTCGGTCCCATTCAAAAGGTAATTGAACAAAAAACACTGACAATAATAAATAAAGTTTATTTCACACAATAATCATTCAGTTTTTTGCGATTTTTCTTTTATGACACACAGAGAGCAATGAAGCGCAACGCGAGCGAGTTCACACTCTAATCTAATGGTGTTGCCAATTTTAATTTCCATTTTCTGCCATAGCTCCAATACCATTTCTTTAAATATATTTCCGAACGATTAAAGAATGTTCTTGTCACCAAAAAATAATATTATTTCTGAACGTAAGAACTGTCAACAAAATAATTTTCATTGATTTTTAACGATTCCACCCGTTAATTTTTATCAAATCAAAGCTTTATTAGGTCGCATATTAAATGTATTAATAGTTTAATTAGTTAGTGCCATTGTTTACAAGCAAAGCTTAAAAATGATTAAGGCTATTTTAGTGTTTAACAATCATGGAAAGCCGAGACTCTCAAAATTCTATCAATATTTTGTAAGTGAAAGTCGATATATGTGTTCATGTAGCCTTTTATAACTATGACATGATAACATGCTATAATTATTTTATATGTATAATGCTTTTTGCTACATTTTAAATGTGATAACAAAATTTCATCAAATCATATGTTGTGCATAAACATGCGTATGTAAACAGAGTTTAAAAGCTGGTTTTAAAAAATTTTTGAATTATATATTAGAATATGAAATACTCTGTAAACTGAGCTGCATAACATAGCAAAATTATGTAGGTTTTTGAACGGGTGAACAGTGATTATAATCTAAATCAAGATATTACTATAGCAGCATGCTGCTGGCCTCATAATATTAATGTGTATAGACAACCGCTGTACTATGAGTCTGGGGCCTACTCAGAAAACCCAGACCAGAGTCAATTAGAAATCTACATGCGTTTCCGAACTTGTTATGGTACCTTTGACCAAATAATGTTCAGAAACGCATTAAATTCGGTCAATGTTTTTAAATTATGACATTTTTGAGACAACGAAACTTTTTCTTTTCCTGTTAAGCCATGTTCTTGTTGTTTTGCACCCTTTGTGTAATAGATAAGACCACATCTACGAAATTATACCTTTGTAGGAGAGATTTTTAAAGATTCTACTAATGAAATTCGTCATTGAAGAAGTCGATAACTTTTTTGTGCTTCAATAGGAGAGTAATAAAATTATACATATACAGGGTGTACCAAAAATACCACGACAGAGCGACACTGTGGGTAGGTGAGCTCTATACCTATCAGAAAAAATAATTTGACCTTAGTAGTCTTTGGTTTTGGAGGTGTTGGCAATTTTTAATTTTTTTAAATTTATTCATGATTTGTTTTTCCAGGTTTTTTTCACATTTTATGATGTCTCAGTAAAATATTAATTGCAGTAATTAATATTTTATTGAGACATCATAAAATGTGAAAAAAGTTATTAATTTGGTATACTACGTACCCTTGTAAAAAAAGTGCCAATATATCAAAAACCAAAAGACTTTTACCAAGGTCAAATAGTTTTTTCTGGTAGGTATAGAGGTCATCTACCCACAGTGTCGCCCTATCGTAGTATTTTCGGGACAGCCTATATACATAATTTGTTTCATGTAGTTTGTATTATTGATGATAAAAGTACATGTTACTTGCGGTTTTATTACACCAATGGCACAAACTTAATTATTTATTTAATACAACACTTAAAAAAATCTAAAAATTGTGCAGAATGAAGATATGCAGCAGCAGATTATCAAAGAGACCTTTCAGCTGGTGTCCAAGAGGGATGATAATGTTTGCAACTTCCTTGAAGGTGGCAGGTATGTTTTACTTTATGTATCTTGACTAGGGCCTGGAATATACATATACATATAATAAATATATTAATAAATAAACCCGCACCTCTAGAACATTTGAAGAAATATATTGAAATATACATACAAAATAAAAAATGTTATTCAGTATGAGTCAAATTTAATCCTATTTGAATCAGCAAAAAGTTCATATTGCATTAAACCATTGAAAGACACACTCATACTAACAGCTTGCTGATGTAGTCATTGTTTCATATATGTAGTATGCCTGCCTTCATTTTCATCTTCCAAGGGGGAACACGGCGAACAATAACTATATACAAAGTGTATATGGAAATAATTTATTATTTCATAATGCAGAGTGAGATTGTTATATTCCTGTTTTTAAATTTTCTTTGATAACATCAATGAGTGTGATATGTTATATGGTAAGTTTTCATTAGAGCATGTTTTGCGCGTAATTATCGTCATGAACTAGATATTGGAGGAGTTCACATTATATACTGTAATGTAGTATTAATATTCCAAACAATCACACCAATTGCCTGGATTCAAACTAGGGATTTCCCTGTACTATGAGTCCCAGAGCAATGGAATTCACTCGGACACTTCCCAGATCACCTAGACTAGAACCAATTTAGAATAGTTCATTTCCCAATTTGGTGCTTCTGGGAATCGAACCCGGGACTTCCTCATGAATTGTTTGACCACTAAGGTTGTTTGGGCCACCGATGTCATCTACAAGAAGTATTCCTTTTAAAAATTATTAAATTAATTATAATAAGTTAATTAAGTGGCCAAGGGTTCACTCACACATACCAAATTACACCATCAGAGGCACAAGAAAAGGGGATAACCCCAACCAGTATATGTATACCAGAATGGTTGTATTTCTTGATTTTTTTTTTGGCAAATTTATGGTACTATTCTTTCGAACATTTCAAAAAGGGTTGTTGTTTTTGATTATGAGAGCAAATTTGTTTCACATCTGTGACAATGGATTATTTCAATTAAGATTTTTGTGACCTTTTTGGCTTTGGTTTGCTTTTGGTGAGTGGGTTTGGGTTATTTTATTAAATTATGCGAGTGATGTCAACGATTTTATCTGACTTCTCAATGACGAGTGTAGTTTATTTTGTATTATTCTAAAATTTCAGTCTGATCGGGGGCTCTGACTACAAGCTGATCTATAGACATTATGCCACGCTTTACTTCGTGTTCTGTGTGGACTCGTCAGAGAGCGAACTTGGCATTCTAGATCTTATACAGGTAAATAATTTGACCGAGGTTTATAATTCCTTAAATTGTGATCTAATTTTGAATATTATCTTTTAATAATCTACAAGAGCGGTAGTAAGTAGATCAGTTGAACAACTGTCAGTACCGAATCCTAGTGGCAACATGTACAGACGGCAGCATACCCAGCTACACATTGACAGATCCTGTTCCGTTGCACTGGAAGCAATATTCTAACAAAAGCGTGTAGTTTGATGTGCTGTTGACTGTACATATGACTTTAACTTCTTAGTTACATGTACTTCTAAACATTTAATCAATACGTGTCACTATCAGAATGAGACAATTAGAGATCTTTCACTGTTGTTATTAGTTTCGAGTGAAATGTGCAACTGAATATTACCAGCTCTTTTAACACGTGACACTTAGTTGGTACTTGGTGTAACGGATTGGTGTCCGCAATCCGACGTTAAGGCGCCTCGTGCCACCCTAGTTCCTCCAGGAAGCTCCTCGGTTAGCTGAAGACTTTGGAGAGCGACCTCGGTTCTCCAAGGTAGTTTGCCTTGTAATTGGCCACGTCGGAGCACTGTAGTAGGATATGCGCAGCCGTTTCCACCCCCCTCCGTGCACGCTCTGCATTGAGACTGCTCTGTGTAACTTTGTCGTGAACGTTTATTTTATCGTTGAACGACTGTCGTGTCTAGCTGTTCTCAGTAGATCGTGACGACAGTTTATCGGTTCACGACAGTTTATCGGTTCACGACAGTTTATCGGTTCACGACAGTTTATAGGTTCACGACAGTTTATCGGTTCACGACAGCCGCCTTGTCGTTTGCGCGACAGAATCGTTTGAAGCTGCTATTATCTGTCATCATATTTTTATCGTGACGTTCGATTTATCGTCAGACGACTCATAATTTACAATATATGAACAACTAAATTTAAATATACAAACGACACTCTAAACTGCACGACTATCTGTCGTGACTCCCTAACACTCAACGACGTTGTATTTGAGATTTTGATATATGTACATGTAAAATTTGATATGAAAATAATATAAATATGGAAAAAAGTTAATTCAGAAAACAAAACAATAGAGTAAAGACGAAAAACAATTAAACATTCCTGCTTTAATTTGGTTCCTATCCTTTCATATTTTATTCAGCACCGCTAGTGACATCTAGCGAGAGATTTTAGAACCTTCTCACCGCAACCGGTACTTTTACAGATAGAGAGAAGCTAACGTAGGTGTCGCTTTTTGATCTAATGTATTATACTATTACTTTTTTATGAAACATACTACAGCATAATCTTTCTTTAGGTTTACATGAAACTTATCACTATTGATATAATTATGTTTAAAAACAAAGTTGTTCAAGTGACGATGATGGGACGAACAAGTCGTGCGCCTGATCGTAAGCGACACGCCTGTTCATAATAGTTGCAGTGCCTCTTAGGACTTTCAACGGCAAAGATCTAAGGGACACTACCACTGCGCCTGTCGCCCTGAGACATAAGTTGACAAGTCCCATGTAACTGCTTGGCAGCAGACATAGGGAAGGTGGTAGTACTTCCAGGACGAACTCGAAAGCTCCTTGTGGAAACAAGGAGCTCTAAAACTACCAACGAACTAGTTCAAAGATGAAAAGAAACGGAACTAGTTCAGTTGACGAATTGAACTAGATCGGCTGGAAGAACCGAGCAGTACATGTCAATGTACACACGCCAGCAAATCAAGCTACACATTGATGTATCTCGTTCCGTTGCACTGGAGGCGATTTTCGAACAAAAATGTGTAGTCTGGTGTGCCGTTGTCCGTACCTAGTACATTTAATTACTTTATGAATTTCAGGTATTCGTGGAGACGCTAGACAAATGCTTCGAGAATGTGTGCGAGTTGGATCTCATTTTCCACGCTGACGCTGCACATCAGGTGACTATATTCAAAATGAGCCGAGTAAGCCAGTTTTTAAGCAATTAGTCGGCAACTTCATGTTGGAGTCTCAATCTGCTACACATTAGTCTGACATTTGTATACATATATTATATGTGTACGTTGTGTATATTGTTTATGTTTGTATATAGTTATGTTTTATATGTTATATACCATACTTATTTATAAATTTTGATTTATTTGTGCGTTATTTATCTGTTATTATTTGTCATGCTTTATTCGTCTTTCGTCTCGAATAGTTTATTATATATATGTATATTTTCTCAACGTTACGAATTTCATACTTACATGTCATGTTATACTACTCTTCGAAAAGTGAGCGTCAGTATACAAAATAATGAAGAATTAATTATATAATAGTAAGTCATAGTACAAAATAGTGTACATATATATACAAATCAATGTAATGTGTGTAAACTAACAATGTCAAGTGTAGGTACTGTTTATAGGAAATGCCAATATGGGTTCTTAATAACCAATAAATGTAAATTAAAGTAATAGGGGTTAAAGTATGAAATTGCCGATTTGTACTGAAAGTCTAAATTGTTTATTTTTTAAATTTTTAACAAATTTATTTAATCAAAATAGTTGCCATTATTATCTATACATTGCTGCCATCTAATGGGAAGGTTATTAATGCTCCACGACAACGCGAGACCTCACACAGCACGAGAAACCATTTTG